TCTCATATACCACATCACCAAGGCTCCTAAAAGCTCAGGACTGGCAATAGAAGTGCCCTTGACATGGGTACAGTTTCATGGCAATCCCACCAGAGAGGCTGCAACAGGAGCCAAAGGGCTTCAACTCTGGGGGGTTGGCAGGCAGGAAGGGGGATTGTCACAGTGCTATCAGCTGCAAATGTCAATGGCTTTGGGAGTGGGAGGAGAGAGCAAACCTGGCAGTGGGTACCAGCAATAGTGTTGAGCCACCTTTACATAAGCTAAGAGGACTCTAGAAGCCATAAAGAGTAGTATCTCTGCCTTCTTATCTTGAACAAAAGTGATTTTTCAGGTATTGAGATGTAAGTTCTGAGAAGAAGAAAATCAAAGCAGTGACAAATCTGAAGTGGCCAGGGGCAGCACAAGGACAGTGGGGGGCTCATGCTGAAAACACCACCTCTCTCCCAGCTCTGCCAGGAGATGACTGGGCAGGGATGTCAGCAGCACATAACTCAACAGCTCATGAGAAACAGCAACACTGGCGTCTTAATCTTCCATTTCACTAGATTAATAAACAAGTAATGCACTCTAGGAATAAAGGAGATGTAAAAGCATAAGACTTGAACAACTTGGACTCTCTGGACCTAATTTCTGTCTCTGTGTTCCCTATATTYTTTTAGTTGTTGATAGACCTTTATTTTATTTATTTATGTGCAGTGCTGAGAATCAAACTCAGTGCCTCACACATGCCAGGCAAGTGTGCTGCCACTGAGCCCCAGCCCCAGCCACCTCTATGTACCCTACTGAGTGGCAAATTTTTCATGTTTCTCTAAGAGAGGAAAAGCCAATGAGGATACCACAAAATGTGTTCAATTATATACTCATAAGTTTCCTGTTCACTTGAAAAACAGAGCTTAAGAAATCACAGGGGAAAATGTCACCTTTCTTGAAGTTAGCAATAAATGACAAGGCAACCTCATACAGATAAACAGTTAATGGGGCAAAAGATAAATTTCCTTTAGGCATGGAATATCTCATGCTTCTTTGGGAATTCCCCTCCCCTAAAGTATGTCAGCTGATTAATGAGAACCAAGAAGGCTCTCAAAATGCTGAGCACTAGACCCTGGAGCACAGTTGGAGAGCCACAGTATTGAGGGGGCCTGCTGGGGCCTGCACACCTCTGCAGACTATGTCAGCCCTCCCCGCCTCACTGTGCAGCAGAGACCACCTATTGGAACTATCAGCCCCTCCCTGTCACTTTTCCTTATCTCATGTAAGATGTTCAATAGGACACATTACATGAAAACAGGTAGGAAAAATCATCACAAAGGTAGATTGAAATGCTCCTGTGAAAGAAATAGAAAAGGACAGAAAGCAAAGACTAAGGACATACATACTCTAAAATAGTACTCACGGTGGATTTAAAAACATTTGCGGTATTTTGGTGCTGGCAAAACTGGAAATCCATATGTAGCAAAGTGAAATTAAACCTCTATCTCTCACCCTCACAAAAAATCAACTAAAAGTGGATCAAAGACTTAGGCACTCAAACAGAGAGCCTGCACCCAACAGAAGAAAATATAGGCCTAAATCTTCACCACATTGGCCTTGGATCTGACTTCCTTAAAAAGATTCCTAAAATGCAAGAAGTAAAATCAAGAATCAATAAATGGGATGGATTCAAATTAAAAAGCTTCTTCTCAGCAAAGGAAATAACCAATAACCTGAGTAGAGAGCCTACAGATTGGGAGAAAAATCTGTATCACATTCACCTCTAATAAAGCATTAATCTCTAGGATATATAAAGAACTCAAAGACTTAACACCAAAAAAAAAAATAATAATAACCCAATCAACAAATGGGCTAAGGAACTAACAGACACTTCACTGAAGAAGAAATACAATCTATCAACAAATATATAAATGTGTTATATGTGTTCAATATCTCTAGCAATTAGAGAAATGCAAATCCAAACTACTCTAAGATTTAATCTCACTCCTGTCAGAATGGCAATCATCAAGAATACAGGAACAATAAATGTTGGTAAGGATGTGGGGGAAAAGGTACACTCATACATTGCTGGTAGGACTTGCAAATTGGTGCAACCACTATGGAAAGCAGTGTGAAGATTCCTTAGAAAACTTGGAATAGAACCACCGTTTGACCCAGCTATCCCACTTCTCACTTTATACCCAAAGGACTTAAAATCAGCATACTTCAGGAATGCAGCCATATCAATGTTTATAGCAGCTCAATTCAYAATAGCTAAACTATTGAACCAACCTAGGTGTCCTTCAATAGATGAATGGATAAAGAAAGTGTGGTATATATCCTCAATGGAATATTACTCACTTTAAATAAGAGTGAAATTATGGCATTTGCCAGTATATGGATGTAGTTGCAGGATATCATGCTAAGCGAAATAAGCCAATCCTCAAAAAACAAAGACCAAATATTTTCTATAATATGTAGATGCTAATTCACAATATGGCAGGGGGCACTAGAGAAGAATAGTGTTACCTTAGACTAGGTAGAGGGAAGTAATGGGGGGGAAGGAGAGAGGATGTATGGATAAGAAAGATAGTAGAATGAAACAGACATTATCCTTTATGTAGATATGTGACTGCATGACCAGTATGATTCTACAACCCATACATTCAGAAAAATGAGAAATTATATCCCATCTATGTATATCAAAGTACATTAATGAATTCTACTGTTATGTCTAACTAATTAAAACAAATTTAAAAATTAATTTAAAAAATTGTGGTATTTATTTCCTTTTCTACTCAACAAATGYCCATTATCGCAAGCAAGACTGCCACACTGTTTGGGACAAAACTGTAAAAGACTAAAACCAACAACATAAAGTAGGAATGAGAGCTCATGGTATTCTGAATTTTTATTTGTTTTGTTTTGTTTTACACAATACCTTTTGTTTTCATGTGGTGCTGAGGATCAAACCCAGTGCCTCACATATGTCAGGTAAGTGCTCTACTACTGAGCTACAACTACAAAGCCTGGGTTTTGTTTTTATTAAAGAAACCTTGGTACATCACATTGTGCCACATGATGACAAAAAAGAACGTGGCAGGTGCTTCAATATTGTACTCATAATAGTCCAAGTCTAGAAAACCATAGGTGTGCAGGCCAGCTGAAATGGCTATGTATACTTTCATTGAAGATATTGGAACTTTTCATTCTATACAAGAAGCACTACAGAAAAATAAAATGCTAAGAATCACAAGTCTGCAGTTGTTACCTACAGTAGAGGTTRGAAATGACCTAAGGATTCACCTGCCAGTATGGTCTCAAGCACTAAAGATATTTGAAATTAAAAGAAAAACTTACTAAACCACCCAGATGTTGATCCACTTACAAAAAATATTTTTCTATAACTATGTATAATGATCTTAACATACACATCTACGTAAGACAACCAACAAAATGTAAGTCATATACAGTGTAGAGATGAAAAGAAAGGCTTTTTTTAGCCTCTAAAGGGTCACTAGAATGAACTGACAGTAAATGGATGAGATGGGAGAAAAGCACAGTCTTACTGTGCACGTGAAGGCAGTGAGCCCACAGCCCAGCAGGTTCTGAAGTCCWTGCATTTTTATTTCATAGGGGGAGGGGAAATGGGAAATTCAGACAAGTTTTAGAGGAATAGTAAATGATTTTTAGGGACCTTTGAGAGCCTGAAAAAACATTTGGTAGATTGGGACAAAGTCATTGGGTCCCTGAGTAGGTAAAGAATTGCAAATGATTCTCTTTACAGAAGAATCTTAATTCCCTCCCCACACCAATACTGACTGGGGTTGAAATAAAAGACAATGGTGTTTAGCAAAAGTCCACCCAGGTATGTTAACAGACTTTGGACTTTTTTCCTGCCATATGAATTTAGTTAAAAGAAAACTCAGCAAAAAMCCCAGAGGTGATTGCTTTCTTCCTTAGTGGATACAGACTTTAAACAGATAAGGAGGTATCACAGTAACATCTCTTCTAGCATCTGCTGGGTTTTGTTGTTGTTGTTATTGTTGTTTTGGGAGGGGGGTGTACTAGGGACTGAACCCCAGGGTGCTTACCCATAGAGCTACACTCCAGCCCCTTTTCTTATTTTTTATTTTGATATTTTTGAGACAGGGCCTCACTAAGTTGCTTAAGGCCTCACTAAGTCGCTGAGGTTAGTCTCAAGCTTGCGATCCTCCTGCCTCAGCCTCTCAAGTCACTGTGCCTAGTGCATCTGCTACTTTTTAAGTTCCTTTAAAGTAAAATTAAAGTGTACCAGGGCACCACATTTTGGAGTGACAGTCCCTGGACTCCTTCAATAGGTAATCCCCAAGTATCAGGAAGAAGGCAAAGAGGTTTCATCAGAGATACACACACACACACACTGGATGAATATATTAAAATATACCCATCTGTAACTTTTCAGTTGAAGAATAAAAATATTTAGATTCCTATTCCATTTAAATAGACCCAAGAAAATTTCCTGGGAAGTTTTCCAGAGAGTTAGATTGCTTTAAAATTGGCCATGCATTAAATAAATCTCTGTTTAACGAAAGTGAACGAGTAACTGATACGGTATCTGTACATTCACTCTGCACAAGGTGCCTTTATCTCAAAAGCATTACTCAAGAGACAAACAAGAAATCAGATTACAGCTCTGGAGAACCATACTCTGCATCTTCCAACAACACTGCCCACTCATACATTATATGAGCACCAGCCACCTGCTGCTTCCCAAGAAATGTGCAATCTACCTTCTCCATTTGCTCCCCAAAGGCTCTCCTACTTGACACAAGTGCCCCCTTTCCATTCATTCCACAGCATTCACCTTTCATCTCACTAGCAGTAAATGTGCAAAGAGGTTTTCTTTAACAGCAGAACCAAAGAGAAGCATTCAGCATTACATTTTATAATGAAACAAAACCCCAAATCCTGAGAGTCTACTGAACTAGTGCTAAAAGCTATTGCAGGAAGAGATTTGTTCCTGGGTGCCTGACTTCCTTTCACATTACCTGCTTCAGTGTACTTCAGTCCCACTTTTTCTTCTGTGTCTTTTGTCTTTGGGGGTGGCCAGACAGCTTGGAGTCTGCCAGGAGTCCTGTCGTCCTGCTCTGTAGGGCTCTGGTCAGGCTGTTGAAAAGCAGGCAAAAAAAAAAAAAAAAAAAAAAATCAGTAAAATGAAATGTGGCCAGAGCCCATTAATTATTGAAAACAAACATGCTAACACTAATTCTAATATTAATTTTAATGGCCAGATGCACACTGCTCTCATTCATTACAGTCGAGACATCCTACTAAGGTACAACTCTTTTCCAGAAGTATAAATGATCAGTTGGGGTGAAAATTAAGGCCAAGTACTACACAACCCTTAATAGCTTTTTTTTTTTAAGGCTATTTTTTAAAAGCACAAATAAACTTTGAGTTGAAGAAACAGGCACAAATGTACTATTTTGGTACATTTATAGACTATTTACAATCATATTCCAAACAACTCCAGGACTAATAAGGATTAATTTTGCATTTTCCATGAACATTAGCACAGGCCAAGATACACTTCTTTATATGTTCCACACTGCTTAATTCTTTCTTTCCTATTAAAAAAATGAATGAGATTGCCTTCACATTCAAGTTATTTTTATAGGAATTGATTTTTACATCTATAAGAATGCTATTTTTTGTTTAGTTTCTAACCACAACCTGAGAACATTTTTCTAATGACTTGAAAGGAGTGGTAATCACATTCTGAATTGATCTTAAGAAATAAATTCTATTAATTGTTTTTATGAACATTTAATATCTACCAGACAGGTGCTTCCTAGTCTTTATACATACATTATCTGAAGTTATTTTCTTTGAATAACTGTTTTCATGAATTAGATACATTTTATGCAGAGCTTAATTTAATCTTCATGATAACCACATAAAGTAAGGGTTATTTTCCTTATTTTGCACATTGAGATTGAGACTCAAAAATTATCAAGGTCACTCAGCCGGTAAATGGCAGAGTTAGAATTAAAACCCAGTTCTCACTCTAAAGTCAGTGCTCAATCAGGAAGCCCCACAGCCAACATGGAACATTTCAATTACATCAGAAACACATATTTTGCTAAATGGCAGACTTTCAAAGGAAATCATAGTTTTCACAGAGGGGTAATTAAGCAGTGAGGAAATCCCTATAAATGCAGGCTATACCTCCATATGCATCGCTTCCCATGCTGCTAAATCTTTATAAGTATTTACTATTGATGTTTAAACTCAGAGCAAGGGTTTCCCCCTTCCTACTCACACATCTCTACATATATCCCTCTTATTACACTCCAAGAAATATGCAAAAGAGAGAAAAGCACTCCTCTCCAACTCAATACTCCTTACAAGGATGATTTGATTTCATTAAAATCATTTTTCACCCATGCAAGAACACTAAAGATAGGCAACTGGAATTCGCTTTGTCGGCAAACCTGAAAACAAATAATGTGGCATCACATTTTATGATAAAATGCAAAACCAAACTCTACATACGCTTTTGGAATCAGACGGGCTATCTGCTGGTTTGGACTTGGACCGTTCAAACACAGCTCTTAGTGACTCCTTTTCATGTCTCATCTTGCGCTTAAGAGCTTCCAGCTCAGAGGTGTCAGCTGTAGTCCCCTTTTTGGGGGGACGGATGAATAAGGCTTTAAAAGCCTCCAGAGCAGTCTCCGGTGGTTTTGGCTTGACCTCGCCACTCTGGGTTTGGACATCTTCAGAGTCCCTCTGGCTCTCCTGATCAGCACTACAGCCCATCTCTCCTCCCCCAGGCGACTTGGGGTCTGCTCCCTTCAGTTCAGTTTTGGGCATGTCAATGTTGAGTAGCTGAGAGAGCTGCTCCAGGAGAGTGGGAGTGGCCTTCGGATCACTTGCTCTCTCCCTGCTCTTCACAGTCTGTGGCCCTGTCTGCACCAGAGACTTCTGAACAGGCTGGGTCAACTTGAGCAAAGCCAGGTCCCCATCCTTTGGTTTAATTTCAGTGATGGTCTCCTCTCCTTCTGCTGTGGCCCCTTTCTTCAGTACACGAAGCCCACTGAAAAAAGCTGGAAGCTGGAACGACTTCTCTCCAGGGACTTCTCCTTTGAGAGAGACACTTGCAGTGACATCGGCGCTGGAGTTCTTGCCTGTTGCTACAGGTGGGACTTGGGACCCTTCTTCTCCAGCCTGGCCTTGGCTGGGGCTATGCTCTGTCTGAAGGCCATCATCGCCAGGTTCCAATTTGCTGCTTATCTCAGATGGACTCCTTTGAGGATTTTCTGCACAGAGCTCTGCATCATCCATTTCCCCAGTGCTAGCATTTCCTCTAGAACCTCCTGGGTTTTCTTTGGGCTCCTGAGATGGCTCAGATAAGTTAACACTAAAGGACTTTGGGTCATTGGTGCTGCTTCCCTCTTCTGGCTCTTGGCCTCCATCATCAGAGTCAGAATCACTGGTGGTATGCACAAGGGTCCCACGGACGCAGATGACATCATCTCTGCCCACATTCAAAGTAGCAAGTGGAAGAAGCTCTTGACCACGGAGAGAACTCCCTGCTTCTGCTTTTCCCTGACTTCCCTCCGATTCTCTCTCCACGCTTTCAGTCTTCCCTTCATTTCTTAGATCAGGTGGCACCTGAGCCTCTGCCTCCAGCTCATCTGAGCCTTTGCTGGGATCATCCTGCTGAGGTGTGGGATCCACATCTAAACTGCGGAATGCTTTCAGCACAGCATCCTCCTCTTCAGGCTTCACAGATTCCAACTTGTTTGTAAATCCAAAGAGGGATTTCATAGAAAACTTACTCAGGATCGACTGAGCCATTTCAAGTCCAGCTTCGGATTTTTCTGGTTCCGACACATCACTGCCATTTAGAGAGTTCCCAACCTCCTCCATGTCTCCACAGGCCCTTAGAGGAAGTTCTGACTTGTGCTACCCTCGCTGTGCTCTCTCAATTTATCCACGCCATCTGCCCTGAAATTACAGGGCAGGGAGCAACAGGACCCGGGAGGGAGCCAGGCTCTCAGCCGCTCAGGGAATACACTGGGTCTCCCTCGGGTCACTGTGCCCTCCCTTCCGGTTTACTCGATGACGGAGGCGTGCTGGGGCAACCGTAAAAAGCCTGTGGAGCTCTATGCCCAGGAGCAGCTGAGGCTGCGCACCTTTACTACACGCGGGCAGGAGGCTGCTCTTCTTGGACTTCCGTATTTATTCCCCTGGACAAAAGACTTTTTGTCACAGGAAAGTCAGCCTGCCCCGTAGTCCCAGTCAGGACTTCAGGAGGAGCTCCGCCCCAGTGTCTGCGGTTCTCCTGGTTGCATTCAACTTCCTCATTGGTGAGCAAGTTGAGGTTCCTGAAAGTGCTGAGGCGGCAAGCTGATCTTGACAGTCCTTAACCACCCCCTGGAGCAGCCTAAGGGATTCAGAAGTGAATCAGCAGAAAATGTTTGAACTACTCCTTACATGAGCCCTCTTTTCCGTCTGGAATATGATCAGAGGCCTGGGCCCGCCAAGCCAAAACAACAACAACAACAACACTAGTAGGGCACCCACATCAACAGCCGCTTACAAGCCCTAATCAAAAGGGAAAAAGTAAAGATCATCTTAAAGTACCCAGAACTTTCAAAGCAGTCAATTTACTGCCCTGGAAGTCTTTTTTTTTTTAAATGCTTTCTTCCTCTTCTCCGCAGGTTGCATCTGGAATGYAGATTTCAGCTGCCGGCTGGAGAAGGAAAACCAACACTACTGGTTTCAAATTACTGCTGTTTTAGCTCTGCCCTAGCTGCCTGAGTTCTACAAACAGGTACTTAGGAAAGTACGCCCACCACACCCAGTGTCTGTCAACCATTAGGTGGYAGAGTAAACAGCTCAGCAGGAATAATTACCAGCTGCACTCCTGTGCCAACATCAAGCTTTGACTTCCTGGCTTCCTTAGGAATCCTGGTAGCAGAAGAAGGCAGAGCATCCCTCTCTGCTTTAGTGCTCCAAACACCTAAAYGAACCTGGCACACACAGCACAAAGAAACACATGCTCTGCCTTGTTAGGCAAAGTAATTCATCAAAGATCCCTGAGGATCCACATTCCCCTAGTGGGCAAAACATCTGAAGTCTTTGTCAGACCCATTTTGCCTTAAAAAAAAAAAAAAAAAGACACACAAAACAACCTCTAAACATCAGCTTAATGTAATATCTACCACTCTGTTACATGCTGGGAACCTGGCAACTTAAGGACAGGGGGAAAATTGAAGCACTGTTTCCTAGCTGCCTACCTGCCTCTTGGGACACCTTCCTGTTGTACCTGAAAGTCTCAATGTTTTTCAAATCTAGTTCAGTGAGCAGACACATAGTGAGCCGCTGGAATGGACAGGGCACTGTGCTGGATTGAGAGAAGAGTCAAACTGGCTTAATGGATGTTGCCAACTCTCTTTGAGCAAACCTCCAAGAAGATTGCAGCCAAGTATTAAACACAAACAGCAATTTCTTCTGCAAAACAGAAGCCATAGCAACCAGCAAAATGACAGTCTTGCTTTATCTGAAGTGGGGAATGGCTGCAAGTCACCCTTGGATAACTTGAGTCACATTCTCTAATACTAAAGATAATGCTCATTAATACTGAGAAATGCTGATTACAACAATGTTTTTTTTTTCCAATGTATTCAAAAGGAACCCTCACACAAATTTTTTTAAAAAAGGTACATATCATTATAACCCACCAACACCTATCAGGAAAATAAGAGACCACCTTCTAAACCTTGATTTGATCTTGTGTCTAAATGGGTACTTTCCTCTTTGCATCTGATTCTAACTTATTTGGGGATTATTAACTGAAGTAAAAGTTAAATCAAAAACCACCAGGACACTAGAGGAAAAAAAATCAATGGTGTCATTTAAGTCTCAGCACAAGCTTGCTGTCTAGAGGAAATGCCTATTGATAAAAGTCAGACTTCTGCTTCTTCAAGATTATGAGAAAAAATTATCTCACCAGATCATAGATCATTCTTCTTAAGAGATACATATGCAAAGATGGGTGAGGGGTGGAGACACCACATATACTTGGTRAGAACCTTTCATTTTCTGCAACACAACTAATGACTGATTTCCAAAATAAGTTTCCAGGCCCCTCAACAGAC